CCAATGCTGTGTAAAGCAGATCTAGCATTTTTATGATTGCATCATTAGTGCTTTTATTTTTCCTGAATCCAAATTGGCAGGGGGTGAGTATGTTTTGAGCCGTTATAAATGAATCCAGTCTCCTGTGCACGAGTTTCTCAAAGATTTTGGATAGCAATGGTAAGTTAGATATTGGCCTATAGTTGTTTAAGTCTGTAGGGTCACCACCTTTATGTATTGGTGTAACCCTTGCCATCTTGAGTAGTTTCGGGAGCACAGTGACGTGAAGGGTCAGGTGAGGAATGCTGAAGTTGATTGCTGAGAAGAGGTTGGATTTGAGAAGGACCCTCCTGGCATGGGCCAGTAGGTTTGTTGCTATATCAGATGATGAAGAAGTGTCCTTGCAAGGGACTTTAGCTATGTAAAAGTTGTTGATCTGGTTGAAATTGTTGGATATACAGATGATAGATAATTCCAAGATCCTGCGAGACTGAGAGTCTTCTACCCTGGCGATGAGTCTTGCGTCTCTGTAGTTGATTAAATGGTTGTGGAAGTTTCGGTGTTTAATGCAGGTGTTCCTTAAATCATTCAATCTGCCTGCGTACTGGTGTTCTAAAATATGTTTCATTTTGTCTGGATGTCGCCCATGTATAATTGGTTGCAATTGTTGCAAGGGATTGAACTTTGTGGTGTCACATACTGATGATGTCTTTGATGTTGGTGGATATGGAGATAGATACTAAGAATGTGGTATTGAAAAAGATGTTGGAAACGTGTTTGGCAACAGAATTAGTAGGGAGGACTATGTATCTCCTCTCAGCAGTAACTTGTCTGGGTGAGTTAATGTTATATGCACGGCATCTGCAGTCTCTAATGAAGTGATGAGGATAGTGAAGTTTAGAAAATACAGTAAGTCCTCGCTTAATGTCATTTCATTATAACGTTGATGAGAAGAAAAATTGATGTCTGACCAGGGCCATGATCTGTGGAGTTTTCCATGTTCATTGTTGAACTGCTGGCTGGTAGGAGGACCCCAATGGAAATAAGTCACTCTGATTTTTTGGGGTTATCCTAGGTTCTCTACACATATGCTGCTGTGTATGATAATTCTATGTAACTGTATTTGTGTATATCTGAATAAACTTGCTTACTTACTCCTTACAATTTTTGCTATGCAAACATTTATTCCATGACTTAACCATTGCAATGAATGCTAAAGGTGCACTGTGCACCCTTGGTGTTTATATCGATTAGCCTATGGTAAAATTGGTTTCATTATACATTGTTTCGCTTAAAGTCGCAGTTTCCAAGAGCTTATCAATGACGTTAAGTGAGGACTTACTGTACGTGTTTGATGAAAGATCATTCTTCCTCAAGGAATTCACTACTGAAGATTCAGAGGGCATGAAGGAAGAAGCCTATAATTATGCCACATTCAGCTTTGGTATCATTTTGAGAATACAGTAGTCCCTCGTTTATCGTAATTAACCCATTCTTGGAGGTGTTACTATTATCAAAATCTACGATTTTCGAATCAATTTTCCCCATAAGAAATAATATAAATACAATTAATCCGTTCCTGACACCCAGAAGTATTAAAACAAAAAAAAAATTTTACATGAAATATGGATGTAGTACATAAACAATACAATGGCACATGATGAATGAAACATTAACAGCATAACACTTACCTTTATTGGTGATTCTTCTTAGTGTATGGAAGACTGGAGGAGAAGAGAGATTGGAGTATTTACAGTTTGGAAGGGGAATCCCCTTCCATCAACACCTCGGGTACCAATTGCTTTTTCTGGGGTTACTTCTCTTCTCTGTTTCTTAATGCCACTAGGACCAGCTTGAGCAGTCACTGGGAGGCCTGTCTCACAAAATAGAACTGTCCAGAGAGCTCTGTTTCTGGCATCTCTTTTAACACTTCCTAAAATGGGCAAGACTTTGTCACTGTACAAGTGTTGATATGGCTGCAAAATCTTGTCAGGTGATGTTTCTCCATAAAATCTTTCCATCTTACCCCACATTTCAAACTTCTCCTTTAATTTCTGAAGGAGAGAAGGCACCCTTCTTCCATCTCTCTTCCTCTACTCTGCAGCAAGATTCTGGGCTGCGATCTGTTGGTCTTCCTGCTGAAGCTCTTGCATCTCCTCAGTGGTGAGCTCTTTGTTGTGGTCTTCCACCAACTCTTCCACATCCTCCAACTCACATCCAACCCCATTGAACTCCCAGTGCCACAATAGATTTAACACAGACATAGACTCACAGGGTCAGCCCAAAAAACTTCAAAATCCCTCTTGTCGACACAATCTGGCCACAATTTTCTCCAATCAGAGTTCAAAGTCCTGGTAGTCACTCCCTCCCAAGCTGTACCTATAAGGATTATGCAATGGAGGATGCTGAAGTGTTCTCTCCAAAAATCTCTTAGGGTCAAGTGAGTGTCTGAGGTCACATTCAAGCACCTTTGAAACATTGCTTTGGTGTAGAGTTTTTTAAAGTTTGCAATGACCTGCTGGTCCATGGGCTGGAGGAGAGGAGTGGTATTCGGGGGCAAGAACTTTACTGTGATGAACCCAAACTCTTCGAAAATTAAGTCATCCAAGTTTGGAGGATGAGCAGGTGCATTGTCCATTATTAGGAGGCACTTGAGATCCAATTTCTTCTCCAGGAGGTAATTCTTCACACTAGGGCCAAACACTTCATTGAACCACTTGACGAAAATGTCCCTCGTGACCCATGCCTTACTATTAGATTTCCAAAACACAAAATTTACTCTTCATGACATTGTTTTTCCTGAACACTCTGGGATTTTCAGAATGGTACACTAGTAACGGCTTCACTTTGAAATCTCTACTAGCATTAGCACAGAACATGAGCGTCAGCTTGTCTTTCATAAGCTTGTGTCCTGGCAGTGCCTTTTCCTCCTGTGTAATGTAGGTCCTCTTTGGCATTTTCTTCCAAAAGAGGCCTGTTTCATCACAATTGAACACTTGTTCAGGTTTCAGTCCTTTAGCCTATATGTACTCCTTGAATTCATGCACATATTTTTCAGCCGCTTTGTGGTCCGAACTGGCAGCCTCACCATGCCTTACCACACTGTGTATGCCACTACGGTTCTTAAATCTCTCAAACCAACCTTTGCTGGCCTTAAATTCACTCACATCACCATTATTTGCAGGCAATTTCTTTACCAGATTGTCGTGCAACTGCCTAGCCTTTTCACAAATAATCGATGTCATAATACTATCTCCTGCTAATTGTTTCTCGGGTATCCACACCAATAATAACTTCTCAACCTCTTCGAGTACTGGTGATCTCATTTTTGTCAGCATATGTATTTACCCCCTTTGCAACAACAGCATCCTTGATTTCTTTTTTCTTGGCCACGGTGGAACATATGGTTGTACAGTAATTGTTTTACATGATGGTAGGATTGCTGGTGACCTTTTTTATGTTTCACAAACATGCAAGATTTCAGGTACGTCTTGCTACTTCTACTTACACTTAGGTCACACTACACATACATGTACAAGCATATATATACATACTCCTCTGGGTTTTCTTCTATTTTCTTTCTAGTTCTTGTTCTTATCTATTTCCTCTTATCTCCATGGGGAAGTGGAACAGAATTCTTCTTCCCTAAGCCATGCATGTCATAAGAGGTGACTAAAATGCTGGGAGCAAGGGACTAGTAACCCCTTCTCCTGTATATATTACTAAATTTAAAAGGCAAAACTTTCGTTTTTTCTTTTGGGCCACCCCACCTCAGTGGGATACGGCCGGTACGTTGAAAGAAAGAAGAAAGAACTCTCCAGCCTACTTTAATTTTAGTTGGCTTTGATTGAGTGTTTGTAACTCTTGCAAATCCTGCTGTTGACTTATGAAGCGCTTCTCAGATTCTTCTGAAGACACTTTGAGTTAAGCTGGAACAAGTCGCTACAAAATCATTTGCATTATAATTTGGTTTAAGGGTGGAATATAACAATTCATACAGCAAGCACTTATCTACACCATACAATGCATAATGTGGGGTATCACCTACTGAAGCATTGTAAGCAAAATAAATGGCACACTGAACATCAGGTATAACTTCATCCCAGGTTGTACTGTTGGGATCAATAGTTGCTCTCAACACATTAAGCGCCTTTTTATTAGATCTTTCAGCTAAACCACTGCTGGCAATTTGTTGAGGGATAACAGTTAACTTTAGAGATCTTGTACAAAGTACACAACTTTTCAAGAATCTCATTGCAGAATTCATCTCTGTTATATGTTACAAGGGACTCAGGAGTAGTTAGTATGCCTGCAGATTATGCATTCCTTAAAAGCTTTAGCTAATGTCTAAACAGTCTTTATCTGCTATAGGAACTAACTCACAATATTTGGTGAAATGGTCTATCATAATACACAGATGCTTACTGCCCTGGCATACATTTCCTGTATGCTGCATGCAAACACTACATTTCTTAACATATTCAGAGATGTCGGTTGCCCTGTGAGGCCAAAAGTATTTTATTCTGGCCTGTTTTACAAAATGATCCATACCAAGGTATGCAACACCTGGCATATCATGAACCAGCTGCAGGGCTACATTTACTAGTGACTTCGGAATTATTAGCTGATGTACTCTTCTGCTAGGAATACCCAGATTGACTATGAAATACAGTAACTCTTGGCTCATAACAAAGTCACCAATAGGTGCTGGTGGTTTCACAGAGCTTGATCTTCCTGCAGAAGAAATCATATCACACCAGACTATGTAGGATCTGTTCTTTGAGCATTCTTAACACCCTCGGCACTGAATGGAGGACCTGCTACTACTGTACTAATATGCCGAGATAAGTATCTGCAACTATGTTTAATTTGCCAGGCAAGTGTTAGAAGGTTGGATTGAACTCCTGGATAGTCAAGGACCTTCTGTCTAATCTTCTGTTCGGCCCTTACCATGAGTCGCCAAACTAATTTGATTATTGAAGTACACAGTGCAGGACATGATGAAGAATGAGACACTAGTGCAATATTTAGGGATCTTTATTATGGAAACATTTCACCAGCCATTGGCTTCATCAGTCCATTACAGAGAATAATGGTGGAAAATGAGGAGGAGTTTGAGGTAATCAGTCCTTCAGCCTGGAGTCAATATGTTCAGTCCATCAATAAAGACTTCTAAATGTCTGTTTTCTAAACCACTTATCTCACACAGGACATGATGAGATACCACTGAATGTCTTGTGAATCACTGAATGTCTGGTGATCAATGGAATGCAATCCTGACTGAGAGCAAATATGAATGGAAATTGTTGGCAAAGTTATACACCTTCTGGCTCTTCAGACAACCTCTATTAGTACTTCTACCATCTTATAATAGTCATGGAAAGCACTAAGCCTGTATGGGTCATTCAGTGATGCAGCTCCTGAATTTCTACACAGAAGGGGCTTATGAGAGGCACTTTATACATCTTTCAATGCACTGGGCATATCCCACCGAGGCAGGGTGGCCCAAAAGGAAAAACAAAAGTTTCTCCTTTTAAATTTGGTAATGTATGCAGGAGAAGGGGTTACTAGCCCCTTACTCCCAGCATTTTAGTAACTTCTTACGACATGCATAGCTCACGGAGGAAGAATTCTGTTCCACTTCTCCATGGAGATAAGTGGAAATAAAGAAAAACAAGAACTAGTAAGAAGATAGAAGAAAACCCAGAGAGATGTGTGTATATATACATGTATATGCTTGTACATGTATGTGTAGTGTGACTTAAGTGTAAGTAGAAGTAGCAAGATAGACCTGTTATCCTGCATGTTTATGAAATGCCCAGAAAAGAGACACCAGAAATCCTACCACCATGTAAAACAATTGCAGGCTTCCATTTTACACTCGCTTGGCAGGACAATGGTACCTCCCTGGGTGGTTGCTGTCTACCAACCTACTACCTAGGTACTTTATACAGCCTCTCCTCACTTAACGACGGAATTCTGTTCCTAAGACAACAAATTCGTCGCCAAGTGAGGAGCATACTACTGTATAATGTTAGTGGGTTTGTCTCAACCATCTTTGATAAGTTTTAATGTCACCTTTGCACCATTTATAACATTTTTAGTATTTTTTTTTTTCAACAAGTTGGTCGTCTCCCACCGAGGCAGGGTGACCCTAAAAAAGAAAGAAAATCCCCAAAAAGAAAATACTTTCATCATCATTCAACACTTTCACCATACTCACACATTATCACTGCTTTTGCAGAGGTGCCCAGAATACAACAGTTTAGAAGCATATACGTATAAAGATACACAACATATCCCTCCAAACTGCCAATATCCCAAACCACTCCTTTAAAGTGCAGGCATTGTACTTCCCATTTCCAGGACTCAAGTCCGACTATATGAAAATAACCGGTTTCCCTGAATCCCTTCACTAAATATTACCCTGCTCACACTCCAACAGATCGTCAGGTCCCAAGTATCATTCGTCTCCATTCACTCCTATCTAACACGCTCATGCACGCTTGCTGGAATTCCAAGCCCCTCGCCCACAAAACCTCCTTTACCCCCTCTTTCCAACCCTTTCGAGGACGACCCCTACCCCTCTTTCCTTCCCCTATAGATTTATATGCTTTCCATGTCATTCTACTTTGATCCATTCTCTCTAAATGACCAAACCACCTCAACAACCCCTCTTCTGCCCTCTGACTAATGCTTTAATTAACTCCACACCTTCTCCTAATTTCCACACTCCGAATTTTCTGCATAATATTTACACCACACATTGCCCTTAGACAGGACATCTCCACTGCCTCCAACCGTCTCCTCGCTGCTGCATTTACCACCCAAGCTTCACATCCATATAAGAGTGTTGGTACTACTATACTTTCATACATTCCCTTCTTTGCCTCCATAGATAATGTTTTTTGACTCCACATATACCTCAACGCACCACTCACCTTTTTTCCCTCATCAATTCTATGATTAACCTCATCCTTCATAAATCCATCCGCCGACACGTCAACTCCCAAGTATCTGAAAACATTCACTTCTTCCATACTCCTCCTCCCCAATTTGATATCCAATTTTTCTTTATCTAAATCATTTGATACCCTCATCACCTTACTCTTTTCTATGTTCACTTTCAACTTTCTACCTTTACACACATTCTCAAACTCATCCACTAACCTTTGCAATTTTTCTTTAGAATCTCCCATAAGCACAGTATCATCAGCAAAAAGTAACTGTGTCAATTCCCATTTTGAATTTGATTCCCCATAATTTAATCCTACCCCTCTCCCGAACACCCTAGCATTTACTTCTTTTACAACCCCATCTATAAATATATTAAACAACCATGGTGACATTACACATCCCTGTCTAAGACCTACTTTTACCGGGAAGTATTCTCCCTCTCTTCTACACACCCTAACCTGAGCCTCACTATCCTCATAAAAGCTCTTTACAGCATTTAGTAACTTACCACCTATTCCATAAACTTGCAACATCTGCCACATTGCTCCTCTATCCACTCTATCATATGCCTTTTCTAAATCCATAAATGCAATAAAAACTTCCCTACCTTTATCTAAATACTGTTCACATATATGCTTCAATGTAAACACTTGATCTACACATCCCCTACCCACTCTGAAGCCTCCTTGCTCATCCGCAATCCTACATTCTGTCTTACCTCTAATTCTTTCAATTATAACCCTACCGTATACTTTTCCTGGTGTACTCAGTAAACTTATTTTTAGTATATTTTTAAAAATTTATACAGTAGTGTACTGTATACTGTAATAAACAGAATAGAGGAAATCAGCTCTAATATACATTATTTGGGCATGGTAAACGGGTACGTCGCTAAGTGAGGAGAAGCTGTATATGTTATATTACATATTTATTTTTTATTAACACATCGGTTGTTTCCCACCAAGGTAGGATGACCCAAAAACAAGAAACACTTTCACTATCATTCAACACTTTCACCATCATTCACACATAATCACTGTCTTTGCAGAAGTGCTCAGATATGACAGTTTAGATGTCACTCCAAACAGCCAATATATAAAAATAAATATTATTTCTAACACCAAACAGCAGCAGATTCTAAGCAATACAAGTAAATTTACCCGAATCAATAGTCATAAAGCAGGAAAACATAAATGTAAAAAGTCTTATCAAATATTTGGTGACCCTTGTACATATACTTAATATGACTGATATTTAGCTTATTTTAAGTCTTATCTCTCACACTGTACAAAATTACGGCCTCTCCTTGTTTAACAATGGAGTTCCGTTCCTAAGACCACGTCGTTAAATGAATTCGTTGCTAAGTGCGGAGCACTCTATAATGGTAGTGAGTTTGTGTCAACCATCTCTGATATTGTTTTAATGTCACTTTTGCACCATTTATAACATTTCTGGTATATTTTTAAATGGTCATACAGTAGCGTACTGTACAGTATATTGAAACAAACAGAATAGAGGAAATCAGCTCTTAATATACATTATTTAGGTATGAATGTTGGTCACAGAGTCCGCTGTAAGTCCGAGGCATCGGTAAACGAGTACGTCGCTGAGTGAGGAGAGGCTGTATATCATACTTAACCCTTAAACTGTCCAAGCAGATCTACGTTCACATGAGTAGTGCTCCAGAAGTAGATCTACGTTTCTTTTACATATTTTCAAATATAACAAAAAAAAAAAAAGATGATCAAGTTTTTTTTACACGTTTTCAAATGTAAAGAAAAAAATCTACTTTTTTTACATACTTTCAAATGTTGAAAAAACGTAGATCTATGTTTGGACAGTTTAAGGGTTAAAAAAGTTTCAAACTTTACACACATCAAATACAGTGGACCCCCGGTTTACGATATTTTTTCATTCCAGAAGTATGTTCAGGTGCCAGTACTGAACGAATTTGTTCCCAGAAGGAATATTGTGAAGTAGATTAGTCCATTTCAGACCCCCAAAAATACACGTACAAATGCACTTACATAAATACACTTACATAATTGGTCGCATTGGGAGGTGATCGTAAAGTGGGGGTCCACTGTATTATACACTCATGGAAAGCACTAAACCCATGTGGTTCATTTAGCGTCACCTCTTGCTTTGAGGTAATATTGGGATGGTCGTGAAACATTACACTTGGGTAATATGTCTTTTAAATCTTCTATATCACACAAGAGTACCTGGAGGTCATTTTTCACCCCATTACAACTACGTGCTGGGGTGTTCACTGACGAAGAACTGGGAAAGCATTCTCCATTCACACTACAATGCTTGATACATGCAGAATCATTCACACTACAATACTTGATACATGCAGAATCATTTACACTACAATGCTTGATACATGCAGAATCATTCACAGTAGTGCTTTTTGTTATTAACCCTGAATGTCTGAACTCTTTATCATTACAGGAGGAGATTTCAGGCTTTAAACTAACCTCATTATTATTTTTAGTCATATTTTTGCTCAGACTTTCTAAATCATGTATGACTTGGCAGTGTGTTTTGCCTACAGGTTCTGAGACACTCCCCTCTTTCTTTAATGTTAAATTAGAGGTATTACAACTTTCAGCATTACTTAAATTGTAGGTATAATGTCTTTTGTCCTTAGCATCTTCCAGATGTTGCATATCTTTCTTCTTGCATCTCTTCCTACCATGTTCTTTGTGTATGAATAATGTGAATGCCAATACAATTTTGCAAGCAGCATTTGGTCTTCCTGCTTTCACTTCTTTCATTATAATATTCTGTAACTGCAAATGGTCCTTGAGAATAGGGTTGAGGAGAAGAGAGAGCTCAGCCTCGTCGTAGCTAGCATAAGGACAGCCTCCAGTTTCCAGTGGCTGAGGCAGGAGAGCCTGAAAGAGAAAAGAAGGTGTTAGGGAAGCTTTTTAACTTAACACAATATTTTCTTGACAGAAGTGAACCACAAGTTAATATTCACTTTACCAAATCGCTTTACAGCGATTTGCTAAAGCGAATATTCACCACTCACTATAAGCTAAAAACAAAAATATTTTAAGGTAAGTAATGTGTGTACTGTATATGCATTTTTTAGTCCTAGCTCTATTGCTTACTTAATATATGATAGTGTAAAAATGCTATCAGGCTTTTATATGCATTTGAAAGTGAAAAAAGGCTATGTTTCCGAATAGCTGTCTTGACACATGAGCATTGACATCTCAATTCCAGTAACCCTCTGAACTGTAACATAACCACCCATCTTTCAGAGTGAAATACTCAGTAAGCAATCATACATAAAACTCCAAGCAAGAATTATACCATATAACAAATACAGATGTTCCTTTACTTGCGATGGTTCGACTTAAGATATTTCAACTTACCAGTGGTGCCTAAGGTAGCAAGTTCGTAACTTGTATTCATTTTTTACTTTTCAGTACTGGTATTTAGTTAAAGTAATTATTTGTTTATTTACTTATTCAGTGACAGTATTTATTTACGTATTAATATAACAGAAAGGTGGGCTAGTGCAAAGATGAGTAGTGGGGAGTTGAAGAGGGTTGGAATAGTTTTAAAAATGCAGTATTAGATTGTGGGGCAGAAGTTTGTGGTTATAGGAGGGTGGGGGCAGGAGGAAAGAGGAGTGATTGGTGGAATGATGAAGTAAAGGGTGTGATAAAAGAGAAAAATGTAGCTTATGAGAGGTTTTTGCAAAGCAGAAGTGTTATAAGAAGAGCAGAGTATATGGAGAGTAAAAGAAAGGTGAAGAGAGTGGTGAGAGAGTGCAAAAGGAGAGCAGATGATAGAGTGGGAGAGGCACTGTCAAGAAATTTTAATGAAAATAAGAAAAAATTTTGGAGTGAGTTAAACAAGTTAAGAAAGCCTAGGGAAAGTATGGATTTGTCAGTTAAAAACAGAGTAGGGGAGTTAGTAGATGGGGAGATGGAGGTATTAGGTAGATGGCGAGAATATTTTGAGGAACTTTTAAATGTTAAGGAAGAAAGAGAGGCAGTAATTTCATGCACTGGTCAGGGAGGTATACCATCTTTTAGGAGTGAAGAAGAGCAGAATGTAAGTGTGGGGGAGGTACATGAGGCATTACATAGAATGAAAGGGGGTAAAGCAGCTGGAACTGATGGGATCATGACAGAAATGTTAAAAGCAGGGGGGATATAGTGTTGGAGTGGTTGGTACTTTTGTTTAATAAATGTATGAAAGAGGGGAAGGTACCTAGGGATTGGCAGAGAGCATGTATAGTCCCTTTATATAAAGGGAAAGGGGACAAAAGAGACTGTAAAAATTATAGAGGAATAAGTTTACTGAGTATACCAGGAAAAGTGTACGGTAGGGTTATAATTGAAAGAATTAGAGGTAAGACAGAATGTAGGATTGCGGATGAGCAAGGAGGTTTCAGACTGGGTAGCGGATGTGTAGATCAAGTGTTTACATTGAAGCATATATGTGAACAGTATTTAGATGAAGGTAGGGAAGTAATTATTGCATTTATGGATTTAGAAAAGGCATATGATAGAGTGGATAGAGGAGCAATGTGGCAGATGTTGCAAGTACATATATGGAATAGGTGGTAAGTTATTAAATGCTGTAAAGAGTTTTTATGAGGATAGTGAGGCTCAGGTTAGGGTGTGTAGAAGAGAGGGAGACTACTTCCCGGTAAAAGTAGGTCTTAGACAGGGATGTGTAATGTCACCATGGTTGTTTAATATATTTGTAGATGGGGTTGTAAAGGAAGTAAATGCTAGGGTGTTCGGGAGAGGGGTGGGATTAAATTTTGGGGAATCAAATTCAAAATGGGAATTGACAGTTACTTTTTGCTGATGATACTGTGCTTATGGGAGATTCTAAAGAAAAATTGCAAAGGTTAGTGGATGAGTTTGGGAATGTGTGTAAAGGTAGAAAGTTGAAAGTGAACATAGAAAAGAGTAAGGTGATGAGGGTATCAAATGATTTAGATAAAGAAAATTGGATATCAAATTGGGGAGGAGGAGTATGGAAGAAGTGAATGTTTTCAGATACTTGGGAGTTGAGTGTCGGCGGATGGATTTATGAAGGATGAGGTTAATCATAGAATTGATGAGGGAAAAAAGGTGAGTGGTGCATTGAGGTATATGTGGAGTCAAAAAACGTTATCTATGGAGGCAAAGAAGGGAATGTATGAAAGTATAGTAGTACCAACACTCTTATATGGGTGTGAAGCTTAGGTGGTAAATGCAGCAGCGAGGAGACGGTTGGAGGCAGTGGAGATGTCCTGTTTAAGGGCAATGTGTGGTGTAAATATTATGCAGAAAATTCGGAGTGTGGAAATTAGGAGAAGGTGTGGAGTTAATAAAAGCATTAGTCAGAGGCTGAAGAGGGTTTGTTGAGGTGGTTTGGTCATTTAGAGAGAATGGATCAAAGTAGAATGACATGGAGAGCGTATAAATCTATAGGGGAAGGAAGGCGGGGTAGGGGTTGTCCTCGAAAGGGTTGGAGAGAGGGGGTAAAGGAGGTTTTGTGGGCGAGGGGCTTTGACTTCCAGCAAGCGTGCGTGAGCGTGTTAGATAGGAGTGAATGGAGACGAATGGTACTTGGGACCTGACGATCTGTTGGAGTGTAAGCAGGGTAATATTTAGTGAAGGGATTCAGGGAAACCGGTTATTTTCATATAGTCGGACTTGAGTCCTGGAAATGGGAAGTACAATGCCTGCACTTTAAAGGAGGGGTTTGGGATATTGGCAGTTTGGAGGGATATATTGTGTATCTTTATATGTGTATGCTTCTAAACTGTTGTATTCTGAGCACCTCTGCAAAAACAGTGATAATGTGTGAGTGTGGTGAAAGTATTGAATGATGATGAAAGTATTTTCTTTTTGGGGATTTTCTTTCTTTTTTGGGTTACCCTGCCTCGGTGGGAGACGGCCGATTTGTTGAAAAAAAAAAAAAATTATATAGCATATCATATTCATATTTGACGTATGATAGGTTCGTCGGAACATAACCCCATCGTAAGTCGAGGAACACCTGCACTGAAAAAAAAAGAAAAAGTCAAAATACAACCTGGAGAGAGGTACACGAATGTGAAGTGTAATTCTTTCTACCGCCTTCTATCCCGTAGAGATGCCTGATGCCGTAAGTGTAGCGCTTCCTATCATTTCCTTCCCAAGTGTGGCAACAGCCAGCAGAATGACCTAAGTGGGGCTTGCAGTAGAAGTTCTCCCAAAATGCTATGTTCTCCATTACTGGCAATCCAATATCCTTGAGGAATAGAGTGTAACGTATCCTGGCATGATGACGGAGACGGCTGGTGCTGGAAAGAATCTTGTGGAGTTCTTGCATGCATAAAGGAAAATAAGGAACTTCATTTTCTATATCAGTATGACATAGTCTCTTCGAAGAGAGAATCAAGTGACTTCCACCTTGGTGTTTTATGAACACTCTAATAATATTCTTCTTCACTTGACGTATTCGTGTATCACTAACTAGATCTTCTGCTCCGCACAATGATAACTGCTTAATGCCAAATTCTAGTGTAGTTTTAAATATTTCGTATAACAACAGCAATAGAGTTTGGCAGGTTATCACAACTTCACTTGCATTCACCGCTACACTCCGCTCCTTTACCAAAGATTCCACCATCGTCCAAGGTACTGCAAGAGAAATTCAACAATAAATACAGTCTCAGCTATGGACAGTACAGCCTCTCCTCACTTAGTGACATACTTGTTTACCGACGACTCAGACTTAAAATGAGTTCTCTGACCAGTATCCATACCTAAATAATGTACATTAGAGCTGATTTTCTCTATTCTATTTATTACAATAGTATACAGTACACTACTGTATAAACCTTTAAAAATATACTAAAACTGTTATAAATGGTGAAATGGTGACATCAAAACAATATCAATGATGTCTGATACAAACCCGCTACCATTACAGTATGCTCCTTGCTTAGCGACGAATTCATTTACTGACGTGGTCTTAGGAATGGAACTCTGTTGTTAAGTGAGGAGAGGCTGTATTGTGTACATGCATAAAACCTCAATAATTTATTATACCTGGAGAGGGTATAATAAATTATTATTATTAGTTTTTAAGATATTGGCCGTTTCCCACCAACGCAAGGTGACCCATAATTTATACAGGAGAAAGGGTTACTAGCCCCTTGCTCTTGGGATTTTAGCACCTTTTATGACACACTTGGCTTACAGAGGAAAAATTCTTCCCTGCTTCCCCATGGAATATTATTATTACAATAGTATTATTATTATTACTGCAGTAATATGTCTTAAGCACCATAATGATGGCAGGTGTACAAGTAAGCATAAACAACAACAGGTTCTTGGTTACCAATAATTACTAATGATGTTTAGAGAAAGCTTGCATAAACCCAAAAGTGTGAATTCCAACAAAAGGTGGCAGTCTCAACTCAAGTCACGGTGTCCCGTGGCCTGGTGGCAATAGCCCTCATTTCACATGGTGAGGGTCTGAGTTTGATTCCCAGCTAAGGGGTGGAAACATTGGATGTGTTTCCTTACACTGGTTGTCTATGTTCACCCATCAGTAAAATGGGTACCTGGGCGTTAGTCAACTTGTGTGGGTCACATCCTGGGACAAAACTGACCTAATTTGCAGGAAATGCTCTGCATAACAAGGGGCTTTCTATATACTAGTAGTATGTCAGTGATGTCAGCTATGGTCTGTATACCATGTACATGTACTTGTAGTAAATAAAAATATTATTAATATTGTTATATCAGTGTGAATGAGTGTGCAGAATGAATCAAGCATATGAATGACTTGGTAGTGTTCAGGATGGGCCAAGCATGTAAATGACTGGGAAAGTACATACTACATTTTATATCCAGCATTACTGTGAAACTAATGGATAAATTATGTACAATAATTGATAAATTATTTTTCACTGATGGGAAGCACTTCACAGCTTCTGTTATAATTTGAAAAACTTCCACAATCACTACTCTTGCCTTTTGAGGCCATTATTAAGCAAATTAAGGGTTATTTTTGTGGGCCACGGTAAACTGTGGATAACTGAAACTGCGGATGCTGGACCAGCGGATACAGGGGTCCTACTGTATATCAAAAGTAAATTTCCTTACACTTGCTGCCCCTGTACACCTAGTAGTAATTAGGTACCTGGGTGTTAGTCAACTGTTGTAGGGCATATCCCAGTTAGTATACCTCAGAGAGGGATGGGCTTTAAAATGACGAGAGATAGAATAACAGCTCTTAGACTTTCGATTCAAATATCATATGTAAAAAAATGAAAATACCTTTTATAAAATGATGGCAGGTTTCTTTCATGGTGCACGCCACCATGCCTGCTCTGAGAATGTCATTCAGTGTTTTCTGTACTTGCAGTATAAACGTGTGATGGGACGTTGTTAATCTCATATACTTCAGAGCAAAATGGATGTGCCTTTTAAAATCAGATATGCCATTTATTATCACTGGTTCACCTCCACACTGCAGCCTGTGTTCAAATAGCAGAGTTTCTGCTTCAATAAAAAATGTTCGAAATTGTTCATTTCCCAGAGTGGCCAGTCTGAAAAAAAAAGGAATATTTGAGACAAAGATATATACAAATACAAAGAAGTATTTTTTGAAAGGTAAAAGTGTAAAAGAGCATTCTTTGAAAAGGTACACAAGGATTATTCGTAGTGTAAATTGCTGGGGAAGTGCCAAACTCATATGGGTTATATAGATCCTTGAGAAATGGTAGACAATAAGGCCTGATCCAGGAAAAAGAGGGTAGCTTTAGTTCCCTAGATCAAGAGCCATTCACAGGCATCATAGCACCTCCTTTACGAAAAAATATATAAAGATACACAAATAACCCGCACATAGGAGAGAGGAGCTTATGATAATGTTTCAGTCCGGCTTGGACCATTTATGTATAGCGATTATGTAAATGGTCCAAGTTGGACCAAAACGTTGTTTTAAGCTCCTCCTACGTGCAAGTTATTTGTGTATTGTTCCAGTCATGGTATTGTGCCTTTTTGTTCAATATGAAGGTAGATAAAACACACAGACCCTGCTGATGCTGCAGTACCAGGGGCAGCAGGTGTAGGGAAACATTCCCTACAGTTCCACCCATGCTGAAGATCAAACCCCCAGACACTATGTAAGTTCACTGTGCTAACAACTGAGCCACAGGATACCCGGCCTTCCACAAGCAAACAATGCCAACTGGTCTACTAATGGCCACAGATAAAATACAAAAATACAGAAGTAATCACCTCAACACAAAATGTGACATACGATCCTTACGTGAGCCCTCTATCAGGCACTCTGAATTAGATCGTATTGATGGGTGATCAGTAGTGATTCTGCGGACTTGATCATCATCTCCCCAGCGTTGATGAACCTGTTAAACAGAACATCAAATTATTTTTGCTTAAAGATTATCAATTCTGCTTCTGCATAGCATATAATAACCTATTCTTTTATTTGTGCCAATGATTAAACTCGGCAAAAAATATTTAACACAGTTGTTTCCCACCATGGAATGCTGACACAATATAATGAAACACATTTACCATCATTCATTCAATAGCTGCTTTGCTAAAAATGCACAAAACTTTTAATTTATACTTTACTGTTCTCCATCATTCTGCACGCACTAATAAAGTCAGTATTCCAACGTGGAATAATAAAGATACTAGACACAAGACATACTGTCGACGATATGAAAGAGAAGACCACAGTGGAACAACCTTAATAATGACAACACTTTACTGTAGAGCCTTACAAAAACAATGACGATAAAGCTCTCCAGAAAGTGAAACATCGCTTGATAAAGCTCTCCAGAAAGTGAAACATCACTTGATAAAGCTCTCCAGAAAGTGAAACATCGTTTGATAAAGCTCTCCAGAAAGTGAAACATCACTTGATAAAGCTCTCCAGAAAGTCTGTATAATCCTCCGGGTTTAGCGCTTCTCCCTTGATTATAATAATAATAATAATCTCCAGAAAGTGAAACATCGCTTGATAAAGCTCTCCAGAAAGTGAAACATCGCTTGTTAAAGCTCTACGCGAGTGAAACATAACTTGAAAGCTGTACTCGAGTGAAACAACTTGATGAAGCTCTACACAAGTGAAACATCACTTGATAAAGCTTTACACAGAGTGAAACATAACTTGATAAAACTCTGACACAATATATGAGCCATATCATTTATTAGATTATTATAATAATATGTAAAAATAAATATTATTAAGTATAAATTTTGTGCAATGCTCTTGCTTCACACACTAAGGGTCTGGGTTCGATCCCTGGCAAGGGTAAAAACACTGGGCATGTCTCCTTACACCTGTTGTCCTTGTTCACCTAGCAAGTAAATAGGTACCTGGGTGTTAGTGGACTGGTGTGGGTTGCATCCTGGGGGACAGTCCTTGATGACACACCGACTTTCATGGGTTATCCTGGGTGGCTAACCCTCCAGGGTTAAAAATCCCAACAAAATCTTATCTTAACTAAATTATTTGTAATGAATGAGTATACCTGGAGAGAGAATTCCGGGGGTCAACGCCCCCGTGACCTGATGTGACCAGGCCTCAAGGCGGATCAGGGCCTGATCAACCAGGCTGTTACTGCTGGCTGCATGTAATCTAATGTACGAACATACATAGAATAAAAAGGTTAAATATCATAGCTGGAAAAATGTACATTGTGTCTTACCAAGGGAAGAATTATCATTACTATTATTATTAAGATAAGATTTTGTTCGGATTTTTAACCCCGGAGGGTTAGCCACCCAGGATAACCCAAGAAAGTGCGTCATCGAGGACTGTAACTTATTTCCATTGTGGTCCTCAATATTGTCCCCCAGGATGCAACCCACACTAGTCGACTAACACCCAGGTACCTACTTACTGCTAGGTGAACAGGACAACAGGTGTAAGGAAACGCGTCGAAACGTTTCCACCCACCGGGGATCGAACCCAGGCCCTCCAAGTGTGGAGCGAGAGCTTTAGCCACCAGGCCTATTATTATTATTATTATTACAACAATCAAAACTAGGCGTTAAACCCACAGGGGTCGAACAGCGACTAAGTTGATGACAGTCGATGGTAATATACCTGAGATAGGAAGAGGAGTCTGGTTTCAGCATATTGGTATAGGCTAGAGAGCGAGACGTTTCCCTCAGGAGGTTTAATGTAAAACGTCATCTTATAGACCTATGATCACTATATATGGTGGCTACTGTAGAGGGTAAAACAATATTATTAAAAATATAGTCGACTGCATTAATAATCATGGACAAAAATAGTCAATTTATTAATAATCATGAACGAAAATAGTCAAAAATAGTTAATTGCATTGATAATTATGGACAAAAATAAGTAAAAAATAGTCAGTTCATTAATAATCATTTACAAAAAGTCAAATACATTGATAACTATGGGCAAAAATAGTAAAAAAATAGTCAACTGAATTGATAATTATGGACAAAAATAGTCACTTTATTAATAATCACTGACAAAATATTCAACTGGCATATAAAACCCGGGGAGAGGAACAATTAGGTTTCGTGAGAAGCCCCACTTCTCTGGATCAAGAGCCCTGGACCAGCATGCTTCACATGTGATCAACGGAGTTAAATCCGAAAATTCATCTTAACTTTAATTTAAAAAAAATATGTACATTATGAAAACACGTTTGTTATTGTTGAGTTGATAGAGGAGCCGCAGTGATTTTACCGTCGCAATACTGAAGCCAGAGAATAAGAAGTAAATAATTTTATTGATATACAAGTACACATAAATACAGTTACACATTAATACAGGTACACATTAATACAGATACACATAAATACAGTTACATAAATTATCATACACGGACACAAGAAGAATTTTTGGACTTGAGCGCCTACTTTGGATATTTATTTTACGGTTTTAGTGGGAAGCCGGTTACTAAACTCAGGTTAGGGTGTGGATGACTGGAAAGTTCAGTTGAGGTTCCTTTCCTGTTAATGTTCTCAAACTGTTAACTGACAAGCCAACGTTGTAATATACTTCCTCTTTGAAAGCATATAAATATGTAAATAGTTCATTACATTTGTAACTTGCTCAGCTATCAAAGTTTTGTGGGCCATTCCCTGGACTCATTATGTACCTCTGTAATGAACATCAAAATGGTATACAATACCGACAGGTTGTTAGGTAAGACACATATGCAACAGTTAGACAACTTTATTCCGAAACGTTTCGCCTACACAGTAGGCTTCTTCAGTCGAATACAGAAAGTAGGCAGGAACAGTAGAGATGTGAAGACGATGTAATCAGTCCATCACCCTTAAAGTCGTAGAATTTGAGGTTGTCAGTTCACATCTCTACTGTTCCTGCCTACTTTCTGTATTCGACTGAAGAAGCCTACTGTGTAGGCGAAACGTTTCGGAATAAAGTTGTCTAACTGTTGCATATGTGTCTTACCTACCTCTGTAATGTTGAGGTACAGTCCCTGGACTCATTATGTACCTCTGTAATGTTGAATCCAGTCCCTGGACTCATTATGTACCTCTGTAATGTTGAATCCAGTCCCTGGACTCATTATGTACCTCTGTAATGTTGAGGTACAGTCCCTGGACTCATTATGTACCTCTGTAATGTTGAGGTACAGTCCCTGGACTCATTATGTACCTCTGTAATGTTGAATCCAGTCCCTGGACTCACTATGTACCTCTGTAATGTTGAGGTACAGTCCCTGGACTCTTTATGTACCTCTGTAATGTTGAATCCAGTCCCTGGACTCATTATGTACCTCTGTAATGTTGAGGTACAGTCCCTGGACTCATTATGTACCTCTGTAATGTTGAGGTCCAGTCCCTGGACTCATGTACCTCTGATGTTGAGGTACAGTCCCTGGATTCATTATGTACTTCTAATGTTGAGTCCAGTCCCTGGACTCATTATGTACCTCTAATGTTGAGTCCAGTCCCTGGACTCATTATGCACCTCTGTAATGTTGAGGTACAGTCCCTGGACTCATTATGTACCTCTGTAATGTTGAGTCCAGTCCCTGGATTCATTATGTACCTCTGTAATTTTGAGGTACAGTCCCTGGACTCATTATGTACCTCTGTAATGTTGAGGTACAGTCCCTGGACTCATTATGTACCTCTGTAATGTTGAGGTCCAGTTCCTGGACTCATTATGTATATCTGTAAAGTTGAGGTCCAGTCCCTGGACTCATTATGTACCTCTAGTGTTTAGGTCCAGTTCCTGGACTCATTATGTACCTCTGTAATGTTGAGGTCCAGTCCCTGGACCCATTATGTACCTCTGTAATGTTGAGGTGGACCCATTATGTACCTCTGTAATGTTGAGGTGCAGTCCCTGGACTCGTGTACCTCTGTAATGTTGAGGTACAATCTCTGGACTCATTATGTACCTCTGCAATGTTGAGGTCCAGTCCCTGGACCCATTTTGTACCTCTGTAATGTTGAAGTCCAGTCCCTGGACTCATTATGTACCTTTGTAATGTTGAGGTCCAGTCCCTGGACTCATTACGTGCCTCTAATGTTGAGGTCCAGTCCCTAGACTCATTATGTACCTCTGTAATGTTGAGGTCCAGTCCCTGGACTCATTATGTACCTTTGCAATGTTGAGGTCCAGTCCCTGGACTCATTATGTACCTTTGTAATGTTGAGGTACAGTCCCTGGACCCATTATGTGCCTCTAATGTTGAGGTACAGTCCCTGGACTCATTATGTACCTTTGTAATGTTGAGGTCCAGTCCCTGGACCCATTATGAACCTCTGTAATGTTGAAGTACAGTTCCTAGACCCATTATGCGCCTGTAATGTTGAGGTACAGTCCTTGGACTCATCATGTACCTCTGTAATGTTGAGGTACAGTCCCTGGACCTATTATGTGCCTAATGTTGAGGTACAGTCCCTGGACCTATTATGTGCCTCTAATGTTGAGGTACAGTCCCTGGATCTATTATGGGTCTCTAATGTTGAGGTACAGTCCCTGGAAATTTTCTGCATAACCAGGGACTTTCTATATAGTATGTTTGATGTCAGCTACAGTGTCCCGTGGTCTGGGGTGACTAAAGCTCTCGCTTCACACGGCGAGGGTCTGCGTTCGATTCCCAGTGAGGGTAGAAACATTGGGCCTGTTTCTTTACACCTGTTGTCTATGTTCACCATCAGTAAAATGGGTATCTGGATGTTAGTGGATTGGTGTGGGTAGCATCCTGGGACAAAACTGACCTAATTTGCGGGAAATGCTCAACATAACAAGCGGCTTTCTATATAGTAGTATGTCATTGATGTCAGCTATGGTCTGTATACCCTCATAGATTATCATACATAGCAGCATATGTGTAGAGAACCCAAGATAACCCAAAACAGTCAGACAGAGTGACATATTTCCATTGGGGTCCTTTACTTATTTCTATTGGGCTCTTGTTCTAGGGAATTGGATCTGTGCTCCGGTTCCCTGAAATGACCTTGAATACATTCCATCCCCATCACATGCGTTGCATAATCCTACGGGTTTAGCGCTCCCTGTGGAAAATACTGTATGTATTTTCCGGAAATACAGTATTTTATATGTAAATTAGTGTAATATTCTATAGGTAATAAAATTTTTATAAAAAATGGGAAGCCTGTGCCTGCGCAGACGAGACTCGCCATTGTGTTTTGAATGAGTCAAGAAAATGTTAGTGAAAATAAGAAGAATTTTCGTGCTCTAGAGGTTAAATTGTGTTGACACCTCTCAAATAGGAGCCGAAATTGTTGGATGTGCATTCCTGCATAAATTGAGATATCAGACGCTATCTAGATTTGTGTTATAATTCTGGCCAGTATTTTCATAAACTTAGTGAAGTTTTTGAGTATATACACATTAATCTCCAGTCAAATTGGTGAGTGATGTTAAGATATATTCTCCTTCTGTTATATAAATGTGGGTAAATATCATTAATTTTAATATGCAGTCCACCAATTTATATATTTACCAGAATTCCTGGTGATGCATATTTCATTTGTAATTAATAGGTCTAGAGCAACTTGTGGATATGACAGTGGTAGGTATCGAAGGGGGACATTTTTTGCGATCTAAGTGTCCCAAATTCCTAGTTGTCTATGTAACTTTGATAAATAATAATCTTTGTTACCATTTACTTATATGTATGTAATGAGATTCATCCAAGTAAACGTAATTTTCCACACTCCCCATGATTATAATAAGAACAAAAGAAAGAAGGAACACTGCGCAGGCCTACTGGCCCATGCGAGGCAGGTCCAAGTCTCCCACCAGCTTAAGCCAATGCCCTAACTCAGTCAGGTCAGGTCACATTCACCTATGGATCATGGCATCCGACCTAGTAGCACAAGCCAGGCAGGTCCAACTCACACCCATGGTCTGTATACCATGTACATATACTTGTAGTAAATAAAGATATTATTATAAGAAGGTAAATAAGTGACTGTAGTTGGCCCTTATAAACCCCAACAAGACAAGTGTGAAGATGCCTAAACTTCCTCAGAAGAAATATTATCGCCAGAGAGCTCACTCCAACCCTATTGCTGACCATAACTTTGACTAGTGAGGACTATTACCTCTTGTCTTGATCCAAGGAGTGTGGAGGTGCGCTCTTGGCCCTTGGATCAACCCTCGTTACCACCCTTCTCCCCCATAGGGCCCCTCAGGGAAGGTTCCTTGATGCTAGTGAGGGGCTCTTGATCTAGGAAATTGGATCTGTGCTCCAGTTTCCTGAATTAATCCTGAATACTTTCCACTTCCCCCCCCCCGGCGCTGTATAATCCTACGGGTTTATCGTTTCCCCTTGATTATAAAAATCCCCCATACGGGTTTACTGCATATTTCATAGTTTCAGGTATTATCTGACTTTAATTTTAGCCAAAATATTTAACACAATCACAGTTTGATTAGGAAATTATAATTTTTCGATTTTTTTTCCAGATTATTTCCAGCCGTCCACAAAATTTTAAATGTATTTTGATTCTTTTTTATTATAACTAAAAAGTAACTTGGGGATTCCTATAAAGTATGTAAGTAATGTTGAGTATTCCTGAATCACTTATAAATTATACTTTCCATAGATCAATTTTATTATTTATCATTATTTATTATTTACACTGGTATTTACTGTTAGTATTCATGGGTTATGCATTCATTAGTTAATGTTAACATAGAAAAATTAACAGAATGCAATGTCATCAGTTGTTCCTCAAAATTTCAGCAATTATTAATTTTTAATACAGTATTTAAGGAGTGTATACATTACACTGTAGTACTGTATTAGTACTAATTTTATATGTATTTTTTCTTTGCTTTGAGTAAAACTCAACACAATTGTGTTAATTGACATTTCCTTTCTGTTTTACAGACTTCAAAAAAAAAGTAGTAGGCTGAATATTAATGCTCTTATGTTTTTTACAGTCCAGTACGACCATCTGCAATGGACTGGAGTCCGTACTTTCCCAAGTACTTTCCTGGAGACAAGTCCAAGAAAGTGGAGTTTGCTGATATTGGGTGTGGATATGGTGGATTATTGGGTTAGTAAATCTACTGTAGATAGCATCGACTAATTAAGTTTAAAATTATGAATTTTAGTCAATTAAGAACTTGTATTATTATGTGAATGAGTAATGTAATTGATAAAGTGAATTTTGTTTCTTAATCTCATCAATCAAATTCCCATCGAGGAAGGGTGAAGCAAAGAAGAAAATCCATTCACCATCATTCATTAAATAGGAATCTACGCAGAAGTCTGTGTACATTGCAATGCAGTGAAATATAACGTGCAACAGCTCAATTTCTCCTTCCAAGTGAAAGTACTGTACATTCCACCTCCAGGAATTTCTTCATAAATGTTACCTTGCCCACACTTCAACATTCACAAATGCATTAAAGTGGAATCCCACCCAAGTTTCTCCATACTCTCATTCCTCGATAGGTGGTGTCTGTTGTCTCTTGGGTTCAATTGTCTGGAAAAAATCCCATACATTACTGTATATGGGTTTGCATATTACTCAAAAGTTGGGCTACCATGCCTGAGTGTCATTTTATTTTAAAGGATAACTAACAGCTCCTGCCTCGACGGGATACAACCGGTTCGTTGTTTAAAAGAAAAAGCGAACAACTGCTCCATGGCAAGTTAGTGTTCTTCGTTACTCTAACCTACCTTCTTCAGTCAGTTCAATATATCTACACTTCTTCCTTTACTTATGCACCTTCTTCTATTAGCATAAAAATAAGTGTTTTTGCTGAGCCATGCTGCTCACAGAGAAGACTTTAACTTGACTCATGAAATCATAATGACACGATTGCAAACAAACCATACCACGCGACGGTCTGGAGTTTTGAGACTCTCTGACTGCAGGTTCAAATCCCGCCCGTGGTATGGTTTGTTTAGAGAAAACTTGAAATTGTCGATTTCAGCCAGAACGGTAAATGATGAAGACAAATTTGCAATAATCAATCCTGTTATCTGCTGGTCATGTGATCATTTTCAATTACAAGACCAAGTTTACACATTGTGTTCAGAATACAGCTGGGCCCCGATGTACAGCATTTCACTCATACAGTCGTTTACAGTTATACCCATTCTTCATTTATTCATCACTCACTATAAGCTAAAAACAAAAATATTTTTAGCTAAGCAGTATGTGTACTATATATGCATATTTTAGGCCTATGTCACTTAATATTTGACAGTGTAAACATGTTATAAAGTTTTTTACAGCACTTTTTGCTTTACAGCAGTAGCCCAAAATGTAACCTGCTGTATAAGCAGGGTCCTACAGTAGCCTGGAACCTAACCTGCTGTATAAACAAAGCCCTACAGTAGCCCAGAACCTAACCTGCTGTATCAGCAGGGCCCTACAGTAGCCCAGAGCCTTACCTGCTGTATAAGCAGGGCCCTACAGTAGCCCAGAACCTAACTTGCTGTATAAGCAGGGTCCTACAGTAGCCCAGAACCTAACCTGCCCTGCTGTATAAGCAGGGCCCTCCTGTACAGTACTTCCCAAGATGATGACATCTCTAAAGTAGATGGTGTGTGGCACTTGCATCACTCAGTGCCATGCTCAATTCAGACTATGCAGTGGGATGGTTATCTTTCCAAGGATGGCCTTTGACTGTCCCTGGAGGCATCAGCCAGGAAGATCCACAGTCAAATTAAGCTCCATAATCTGCCAGTTTCCAAAACAGAGACTTTCCTTCGATTTCCACATTATTGCCATTGTTAAGCAGCAAGAGACCAGGTTACCATTGTATCATTGACTTTCTCTTTTACCCACTGGCAGTATGTGTGGTAGGTTAGCTGCCCATTGTTAAATGCGCTATTTACAGCTCCAAGGCCCTTGATAACTCTCAGCTCTCTCTGCCTCTGTAACTGATTTTCACACAGTTGAGTTAGCTGTTTTAAGTTTAAATAATAAGATATTACACGGATCCCGATGGAAATAAGTCACTTTGTCTTACTTTTCTGGGTTATCCTGGTGAGTAATTTACACTGCGTGTATGATAATTGTACTTATGTGTACCTGTACCTAAATAAACTTACTCATTGCCTTAATTGTGTGAGGAATTGCCCCTTCTTCCTGAAGTTTGTCATGTTTGTCTGTTTGTCTCAGGAGTGCATAGACCTGGCAGACTTGGGAGAGCCATTATGCTGTTTGTCATTAATCAGGAGCACGTCGTCAATATGTGAGCTTATTTTTTAATGTATCCTTTGCCTTAAGAGCTGAATAGTTTGCTGAAATTAAAGTAAATTTTGATTGAGCAAGTTTCAATTTAACCCTTAAACGGTTCAAACAGATCGACGTTCAAATTCGTAGTGCTACAACAGTAGATCTACTTTTTTTTTACATATTTTCAAATATAACAAAAAAAATGTAGATAAAAGTTTTTTACACATTTTCAAATGTAAAACAAAAAAGAAGATCTACATTTTTTTTACATACTTTCAGATGTTGAAAAAACGTATATATATGTTTGGACCATTTAAGGGTTAATGGATTCAGGAACAACAGACAAAATCTGCTCGGTATGGAATTATCTGAAAAATGGTATGGTGATACTGACAAGATGAGGAAAAAGACACTTAATTACAGTTCAGGACTTTTATTAAAGGACACGTTTCACCACGAGTGGTGAAACATACTGAAGAAGTCACTCTTGGCAAAACGTTGCATCTAATTAATGTCCTGAGCTGTACATAAATGTTTTTTCCCACACAAATACAGCCTCTCCTTGCTCAACGATGGAGTTCAGTTCCTAAGACCACACTGGTAGTGGGTTTGTGTCAACCATCTCTGATATTGTTTTAATATAAATTTTGCACCATTTATAACATTTTTAGTATATTATTAAATGTTTATACAGTAGTGTACTGTATATTGTAATAAACAGAATAGAGGAAATAAGCTATAATATGCATTATTTAGGTATGCATACTGGTCAGAGAGCCCTTCTTAAGTCTGAGTCGTTGGTAAACAAGTACGACGCTAAGTGAGGAGAAGCTGTATCTGTATTTGCTACTTTATGGAGTGGCCGGTAGGTGGTGCCTTAGTTTGTTATTCAGTAGTGGAGAGTAATAATTTGCTATCCGTTTTCCCTAGATTAACTGTGTTTATTATAATATAGAGTACACTGAAGAATCCTTCCTCTGTCAGTCATGCGTGTCGTAAGAGGTCACAAGCAAGGGGCTAGTAACCCCTCCTGTATGAATTACTACATGTAAAAAGAACTTTTTTTTTAGGTCACCCTGCCTTGGTGGGATATGGCCAGTATGTTGAAAAATAATAAAAAAAAGTACACTGCACTGCGAATAACCATGGTCTCTAAAGCCAATTCTGGTGCTGAGTGGCAGAAACATATACAGCAGTAGCCAGGAACCTGACCTGCTGTATAAGTGGGGCCCACCTGCACAGCAGTAGCCAGGAACCTGACCTGCTGTATAAGCGGGGCCCACCTGCACAGCAGTAGCCAGGAACCTGACCTGCTGTATAAGCGGGGCCCACCTGCACAGCAGTAGCCAGGAACCTGACCTGCTGTATAAGCGGGGCCCACCTGCACAGCAGTAGCCAGGAACCTGACCTGCTGTATAAGTGGGGCCCTCCTGTACAGCAGTAGCCAGGAACCTGACCTGCTGTATAAGTGGGGCCCACCTGTACAGGAGTAGCCAGGAACCTGACCTGCTGTATAAGCGGGGCCCACCTGCACAGCAGTAGCCAGGAACCTGACCTGCTGTATAAGCGGGGCCCACCTGCACAGCAGTAGCCAGGAACCTGACCTGCTGTATAAGCGGGGCCCACCTGCACAGCAGTAGCCAGGAACCTGACCTGCTGTATAAGCGGGGCCCACCTGCACAGCAGTAGCCAGGAACCTGACCTGCTGTATAAGTGGGGCCCTCCTGTACAGCAGTAGCCAGGAACCTGACCTGCTGTATAAGTGGGGCCCACCTGTACAGGAGTAGCCAGGAACCTGACCTGCTGTATAAGCGGGGCCCACCTGCACAGCAGTAGCCAGGAACCTGACCTGCTGTATAAGTGGGGCCCACCTGTACAGCAGTAGCCAGGAACCTGACCTGCTGTATAAGTGGGGCCCACCTGTACAGGAGTAGCCAGGAACCTGACCTGCTGTATAAGTGGGGCCCACCTGTACAGCAGTAGCCAGGAACCTGACCTGCTGTATAAGTGGGGCCCACCTGCACAGCAGTAGTCAGGAACCTGACCTGCTGTATAAGCAGGGTCCTCCTGTACAGCAGTAGCCAGGAACCTGACCTGCTGTATAAGTGGGGCCCTCCTGTACAGCAGTAGCCAGGAACCTGACCTGCTGAATAAGCAGGGTCCTCCTGTACAGCAGTAGTCAGGAACCTGACCTGCTGTATAAGCAGGGTCCTCCTGTACAGCAGTAGTCAGGAACCTGGCCTGCTGTATAAGTGGATCTGCCTGTACAGTGTGATTTGCTACCACTTCTGTCAGCCATTAGTCGACTTACAGTGGCGTTTTTTTTTTTTCATTCTTTACACACTGGCTGTCTCCCACCAAGATAGGGTAACCTGAAGAAGAAACACTTAACCATCATTCATTCAATCACTGTCTTGCCAAAAGTGCAATAAGTTTTAACAACTTTTATTTTTTGCAGTGGCCCTTGCTCAGATTTTCCCTGACACACTTATGTTAGGCATGGAAATCCGTGTGAAGGTGTCAGACTTCGTTATTGACCGCATAAATGGCCTGAGAGAGGAGAAGAAGGACATACCTGGAGGATATCAAAATGTTGCATGCATTCGAACAAATGCAATGAAATATTTACCAAACTTCTTTGAGAGAGGACAGGTGAGGTATTCTATTTACTATATGCTGCCATATTTAAAATTACTAAACTTAGAAAGACTAGAGAGAACTTTTCATACATAATAATCAGCTACTCCTCGCTTAGCGACGTACTCGTTTACCAGCTCCTCGAACTTAAGACGGGCTCTCTGACTAGTATTCATACCTAATTAATGTATATTAGAGCTGATTTCCTCTATTCTGTTTATTTCAGTATACAGTACACTGTTGTATAAATATTTAAAAATATACCAGCAGTGTCACAAATGGTGCAAAGGTGACATTAAAACAATATCAAAGATGGTTGATACAAACTCACCACCATTATAGCATGCTCCTCACTTAGTGATGAATTCATTTAACGACGTGCTCTCAGGAACAGAACACCGTTGTTAGGTAAGGAGGGGCTGTATCTATATGAGTGATAAAGAATTCTTCTTCCATAAGCCATGCGTGTCATAAGAGGTGACTAAAGCGCCAGGATATACTGCGTAGAAAGACCCTGGTTATACAAAGCATTTCCTACAACTTAGGTTAATTTTGTCCCCAGGATCTATCTTCCCCTCCCCCCACACCAGTCCACTAACACCCAGGTATCTACTTACTGCTGAGTGAACAGTAATAATAATAATAATAATAATACAGTGGAACCTTGAAAATCGAACGTACCAAATATCGAACGTTTCGAAAATACGTAAGACCATTTTTTCGGACAAACTGTGTACCAAAAATCGAACGCGTTTCAAATTTCGGACTGCCAGGTACGGGACCTGTCCGCTGGCCCGCTCTGTCCGCGTCCCCGCGCAGACGCCGTGAGCAGTCTAGCTTTATTTATGCTTGAGTGAACACTAACCTGCGATCTCATTCACACATTTTACGATTATTTAATTGTGTTTAGTGCTTGTGGGGCTGTGAAATAAGCTGCCATGGGCCCAAAGAAACCTGCTAGTGGTACCCTTGTGGTAAAGAAAGTGAGAAACACCATAGATGTGAAGAAGGAAATACTAATACAGAAGTATGAGATTGGAGTGGGACTTGTTGAGCTTGGCAGGATGTACAGAGGACTGTGGACAGTTATTTTGTGAGACAGAAACAGACGACTGTGGACAGTTATTTTGTGAGACAGAAACAGACGACTGTGGACAGTTATTTTGTGAGACAGAAACAGACGACTGTGGAGTTATTATGTGAGACAGAAACAGACGACTGTGGAGTTATTTTGTGAGACAAACAGACGATTGTGGATAGTTATTTTGTGAGACAGAAACAGACGACTGTGGAGTTATTTTGTGAGACAAACAGACGATTGTGGACAGTTATTTTGTGAGACAGAAACAGACGACTGTGGATAGTTATTTTGTGAGACAGAAACAGGACTGTAGACAGTTATTTTGTGAGACTGGGGTCCAATGGCTCTCAAGCTGGTCCTAGTGGCATTAAAATACAGAGAAGGGAAGCAACCCCAGAGAGAGCTTTGATACCGAAAGTCCTCATGGAGGGGTATTCTCCTTCCAAACACTAACCCCAACTCCCTCTCTCCTCCTCCCTATCTTCCAGATGCCATCACCAATCTTCAATAAAGGTAAGTAAAAATGTTATTTTATATTATATTTTATATATTTTATTTTATTATCACACCGGCCGATTCCCACCAAGGCAGGGTGGCCCGAAAAAGAAAAACTTTCACCATCATTCACTCCATCACTGTCTTGCCAGAAGGGTGCTTTACACTACAGTTTTTAAACTGCAACATTAACACCCCTCCTTCAGAGTGCAGGCACTGTACTTCCCATCTCCAGGACTCAAGTCCGGCCTGCCGGTTTCCCTGAATCCCTTCATAAATGTTACTTTGCTCACACTCCAACAGCACGTCAAGTATTAAAAACCATTTGTCTCCATTCACTCCTATCAAACACGCTCACGCATGCCTGCTGGAAGTCCAAGCCCCTCGCACACAAAACCTCCTTTACCCCCTCCCTCCAACCCTTCCTAGGCCGACCCCTACCCCGCCTTCCTTCCACTACAGACTGATACACTCTTGAAGTCATTCTGTTTCGCTCCATTCTCTCTACATGTCCGAACCACCTCAACAACCCTTCCTCAGCCCTCTGGACAACAGTTTTGGTAATCCCGCACCTCCTCCTAACTTCCAAACTACGAATTCTCTGCATTATATTCACACCACACATTGCCCTCAGACATGACATCTCCACTGCCTCCAGCCTTCTCCTCGCTGCAACATTCATCACCCACGCTTCACACCCATATAAGAGCGTTGGTAAAACTATACTCTCATACATTCCCCTCTTTGCCTCCAAGGACAAAGTTCTTTGTCTCCACAGACTCCTAAGTGCACCACTCACTCTTTTTCCCTCATCAATTCTATGATTCACCTCATCTTTCATAGACCCATCCGCTGACACGTCCACTCCCAAATATCTGAATACGTTCACCTCCTCCATACTCTCTCCCTCCAATCTGATATTCAATCTTTCATCACCTAATCTTTTTGTTATCCTCATAACCTTACTCTTTCCTGTATTCACCTTTAATTTTCTTCTTTTGCACACCCTACCAAATTCATCCACCAATCTCTGCAACTTCTCTTCAGAATCTCCCAAGAGCACAGTGTCATCAGCAAAGAGCAGCTGTGACAACTCCCACTTTGTGTGTGATTCTTTATCTTTTAACTCCACGCCTCTTGCCAAGACCCTCGCATTTACTTCTCTTACAACCCCATCTATAAATATATTAAACAACCACGGTGACATCACACATCCTTGTCTAAGGCCTACTTTTACTGGGAAAAAATTCCCCTCTTTCCTACATACTCTAACTTGAGCCTCACTATCCTCGTAAAAACTCTTCACTGCTTTCAGTAACCTACCTCCTACACCATACACTTGCAACATCTGCCACATTGCCCCCCTATCCACCCTGTCATACGCCTTTTCCAAATCCATAAATGCCACAAAGACCTCTTTAGCCTTATCTAAATACTGTTCACTTATATGTTTCACTGTAAACACCTGGTCCACACACCCCTACCTTTCCTAAAGCCTCCTTGTTCATCTGCTATCCTATTCTCCGTCTTACTCTTAATTCTTTCAATTATAACTCTACCATACACTTTACCAGGTACACTCAACAGACTTATCCCCCTATAATTTTTGCACTCTCTTTTATCCCCTTTGCCTTTATACAAAGGAACTATGCATGCTCTCTGCCAATCCCTAGGTACCTTACCCTCTTCCATACATTTATTAAATAATTGCACCAACCACTCCAAAACTATATCCCCACCTGCTTTTAACATTTCTATCTTTATCCCATCAATCCCGGCTGCCTTACCCCTTTCATTTTACCTACTGCCTCACGAACTTCCCCACACTCACAACTGACTCTTCCTCACTCCTACAAGATGTTATTCCTCCTTGCCCTATACACGAAATCACAGCTTCCCTATCTTCATCAACATTTAACAATTCCTCAAAATATTCCTTCCATCTTCCCAATACCTCTAACTCTCCATTTAATAACTCTCCTCTCCTATTTTTAACTGACAAATCCATTTGTTCTCTAGGCTTTCTTAACTTGTTAATCTCACTCCAAAACTTTTTCTTATTTTCAACAAATTTGTTGATAACATCTCACCCACTCTCTCATTTGCTCTCTTTTTACATTGCTTCACCACTCTCTTAACTTCTCTCTTTTTCTCCATATACTCTTCCCTCCTTGCATCACTTCTACTTTGTAAAAACTTCTCATATGCTAACTTTTTCTCCCTTACTACTCTCTTTACATCATCATTCCACCAATCGCTCCTCTTCCCTCCTGCACCCACTTTCCTGTAACCACAAACTTCTGCTGAACACTCTAACACTACATTTTTATATTACTATACATAATTAAAGACTATAGCAATTGTTGTGTGTATGTAAAACTAATTAATCTCTATAAAATGTATTATTTTTGTGAATATTTTTGGGTTTCTGGAACGGATTAATTGTATTTCCATTATTTCTTATGGGAAATATTGCTTCGAATTTCAGACTTTTCGAATTTAGAACTAGCTCCTGGAACGGATTAAGTTCGATTTTTGAGGTTCCACTGTATACAGTAATAGTATCTTTATTTCTACAAGTACAGTGGTCCCTCGCTTTTCGTAGTTCTCGGCAATCGTAAATTTCACCAATCATAGGGGTATTTTCGTATAAACATGGACTCGCTTTTCATAGGTTGACTCGCGAATAATAGTTCGTCCGGGACGTGTACGCACGGTGTGAGCCGGGGCGGCCTCCCTACCCAGCCAGTCTGGCATTGTTTACCAGTGAGTGAAGGTCCCCTCAAGTGCTCCTACGAAATATTTCATAATATTCCACTCATTTTAGTGCTTGCAATTACACTAAATAAGCTACCATGGCTCCAAAGAAAGCTCATAGTGCCAAGCCTGTGGTAAAGAAGGTGAGAAATATGTACAGTGACAAAGTCTTGGGCCATTTTAGGGAAGTGTTAAAGAGACGCCAGAAACAGAGCTCTCTCCACAGTTACTTTGCGAGACAGGACTAGAGTGACTCTCAAGGTGGTCCTAGTGGCATTAAGAAACAGAGAAGAGAAGCAACCCCAGAGAAGCAATTGGTACCTGAGGTGTTGCTGGAAGGGGATTCCCCTTCCAAACTGTAAACAATCCAATCTCTCTCCTCCTCCAGTCTTCCATACACTAAGAAGAATCTCCAATAAAGGTAAGTGTTATGCTGTTAATGTTTCATTCATCATTTCCCACTGTATTGTTTATGTACTACATCTATATTTCATGTAAAAAAAATTTTTGTTTTAATACTTCTGGGTGTCAGGAATGGATTAATTGTATTTACATTATTTCTTATGGGGAAAATTGATTCGCAAATCGTAAATTTCGTTTATAGTAGCTCCTCCAGGAATGGATTAATTACGAAAAACGAGGGACCACTGTACATACAGTGGATCCTAGAGTTTCGAGCGTACCGATTATCGAACTTTTTGAGTTTCAACCGCTTTTTTCGAACCAATTTTGTTCCGAGTATTGAACTCTACCCATCTTTGGAATCGCCAGGTATCGGACCTGTCCACCAGCCCGCTCTGTCCGTGTCCTCGCACAGGCGCCGTGAGCAGTCTGGCTTTGTTGATGCTTGAGTGAACACTAACCTGTGTGCCTATTCAAACATTTCACTCTTAATTCATTATGTTTAGTGCTTGTGTGACTGTGAAATAAGCTACCATGGGCCCAAAGAAACTTGCTAGTGGTACCCCTGTGGTAAAGAAAGTGAGAAACACCATAGACATGAAGAAGGAAATAATACAAAAATACGAGAATGGTGTGAGACTTCTTGAGCTTGCCAGGATGTACAACAAAAACAAGTCAACCATTGCTTCTATCCTGGCAAAGAAAGAACAAATCAAGGAAGCTGATGTTGCAGTAGGTGTTGATATGCTAACCAAAAATAGACCACAGACAGTTGATCAGGTTGAGAAGTTATTGCTGGTGTGGATCAAAGATAAAGAGATGGCAGGTGATAGTGTTTCAGAGACAATTGTAAAAAGGTAAGGATTAAGGACGTGTGTAAAGTGGAATGAGTTGCAAACTTTTGTTGAAAGTATCACCCTGACCAAGATGAAACAAGCCATCTCTGCAACAAGTTCAGTGACAAAATCATGTCCCACTTCAGGAAAATGTTAAAAAGGCACCAGATACAGAGGACTGTGGACAGTTATTTTGTGAGATTCGTCCAGTGACTTTCAAGCTGGTCCTAGTGTCATTAAAAGACAGAAAAGGGAAGTTACCCCAGAGAGGTCTTTGATACCTGAAGTCCTTATGGAGGGGGATTCCCATTCCAAACACTAACCCCAACTCCCTCTCTCCCAATCTTCAATAAAGGTAAGTAAAAATGTTACTTTATATGTTTATTTAAATTTATTACTATTGTACTATGTATGTTTGTTGTGTGTGTAAAACTATAATATAATCTCTATAAAATGTATTTTTTTGTGAATATTTTTGGGTTTCTGGAATGGATTAATTGTATTTCCATTATTTCTTATGGGAAATATTGGTTCGACTTTCAAACATTTCGACTTTAGAACTAGCTCCTGGAACAGATTAAGTTCGAAACTCAAGGGTCCACTGTACATGTACAAGATATACAGGCCTAGCTGACATCAGTGACATACCACTATATAGAAAGCCGTTTGTCATGCTGAGCATTTCGGGCAAATTAGGTCAGTTTTGTCCCAGGAGGCAACCCACACCATAAAGGGATTACCAATAGACCCCTGTCTGTGCTCAAGAAGGCGCTGGACAGGCACCTAAAGTCAGTACCTGACCAGCCGGGCTGTGGTTCGTACGTCAAGTTACGTGCGGCCAACAGTAACATCCTGGTTGATCAGACCCTGATCCTGATCCACCATGAGGCCTGGTCACAGACTGGCCTGTGGGGTCAATGACTGTCGAAACCCTCTCTAGGTATACTCCAGGTATACACCAGTCGACTAATACCCAGGTACCCATTTTATACTGAAGGGTGAACAGGGACAGCAGGTATCTTATGGAAACATGTCCCTAATGTTTTTCAGCCATACTGGAGATTCGAACTCCGGACCTCAGTGTGTGAGCTGAGTGCGCTAACGATTGAGCTATGGGACAGTGACAGCAGGTGTAAGGAAACATATCCAATGTTTCCACCCATACTGGGATTGAACCATGAACACTCAGTGTGTGAGCTGAGTGCACTACCAACCAACCTACGGGTTCATTATCAAAGTCATTTAGCTTCTTTCTCAATGTTATCATGACTACTAATTTTGAATTTACACCTTCACATATAACTCTCTCACTGAACCTTTTCAACTGCATTAGATGGACTAAGATGTGTTTTTCTTTTCCAGTTGAGCAAAATGTTCTTCCTCTTTCCTGACCCACACTTCAAAAGATCCAAGCACAAGTGGAGAATTATTAATTCCTCTCTCCTGGCCGAGTACGCCTATGTTCTACAGGATGGGGTATGTTTGAAGGCATATTTATGTTGGTGGAATTACCGGCAATATGTTAGGTAAAGGGACACAGGTGCCACTTATGTGACATTTTATTGTGGCAATGTTTCACTCTCCAGGAGCTTTGTCAAGCTTGGCAAAGCTCCTGGAGTGCAAAATGTGTACTCCTTGTGAAGAATGGTATTCCAAGTGAAAGGAAAATGAAATTAGCCATGCAGCTTCCATGCCCACATATGTGCTCGCAGCGAGTGATTTGTCCAATGGTACTGGGCACCTGATATTTGAAGTATTGATGACTGAGTGGACTATGGCATCCTTGAATTTTAGCAGGGGCAGCATCAGTGTCCTGCCTACTATGGTTCATCTCCCCTTTACATCTTGGACTACAGCAACCTTTCACCTTGTCTCACCTACTGGTTGTACTGCAGTTGCAGCAACTCTGCCATCATTAACATCTTGATCCAGACCCAGGTGGATACATTACCATAATAAAATGTCACATTAGTTGCACTCGTGCCCTTTTACTTAACCCTTAAACTGTCCAAACAAATTTACGTACACATGCGTAGTGCTCCGAAAGTAGATCTACGTTTTTTTACATACAGTGGACCCCCGGCATTCGATGACATCGGTATACGTTAAATCCGGTATTCGATACATTTTAACGCAAAGATTTTGCCTCGCCACTCGTTAAAAAACCCGCCACACGCAATTCGTCCGGGATGCGTCCACGTGAGTGCCAGTGTTTACAAGCCAGCCAGTGTGCTCGCATCTAAGCATACATTCGGTACATTCCATATTATCACTGTTTTTGGTGCTTGTTTCTGCAAAATAAGTCACCATGGGCCCCAAGAAAGCTTCTAGTGCCAACCCTGTGGTAAAAAGGGTGAGAATTAGTATGGAAATTAAGAAAGATTTTGAAGGGTTTGGGGCTAACCCTGAAAAGCCTATGCCAGTTGTGGAATCCATTGTGCCTACTTCAAAAATTAAGGAAATGTGTGCAAAGTGGGTTGAACTGCAAACATTTATGGATGAAAATCACCCTAACACAGCTATTGCAAGCCGTGCTTGTGACTATTACAATGACAATGTTGTGGCCCATTTTAGACAAATCGTAAAGGAACGGGAGGTACAGGCCTCTATGGACAGATATGTTGTGCGGCAGAAGTCCAGTGACTCTCAAGCTGGTCCTAGTGGCATTAAAAGAAGAAGGGAAGTAACCCCGGAAAAGGACTTGCTACCTCAAGTTCTAATGGAGGGGGATTCCCCTTCTAAACAATAAGTTCAACACACTCCCCTCCTCCCATCCCATCAATCATCACCAGATCTTCATTAAAGGTAAGTGTCATGTATTCTTTTGTTAGTAGAGTACTACAAACTGCATGTCTTCTTCAGTTTGTGTGCATTAAACTTAATATTTCATGTGGTAAAAATTTTTTTTCAGAGTACTTTTGGGTGTCTTGCACGGATTAATTTGATTTCCATTATTTCTTATGGGGAAAATTAATTCGCCTTCTGATAATTTTGGCATATGATGAGCTCTCAGGAACGGATTAATATTGTATACCGGGGGTCCACTGTATTTTCAAATATAACAAAAAAAAAAAGTAGACCAAAGTTTTTTTACTCGTTTTCAAATGTAAAAAAAAAGAAAAGATTGCGTTTTTTACATACTTTCAAATGTTGAAAAAAAGGTAGATCTATGTTTGGGCAGTTTAAAGGTTAATGTTTGAAGGTGTTTGGGTTGTTCATGATTGTTCACTTTTCAGTTATGGCCTTGAAATAAAGGTATCAAAGTTAACATATCTGTGACATTTGTAATGTCCTATAATACCCATATATACTGAACTGTATAACACTGTTGACTGCGCACAAAAGTAAATGCGATATATGTAGTAAATGTTATATATTTTTAGGGCCTTGTGTACACTGTGACAGACGTGAAGGATCTCCATGAATGGATGGTTCGCCATTTTACCGAACATCCTTTATTTATTCGTGTGGACGAGGATATTTTGGTGAGCATCAAATCATTTAAAATTCTCTGGCTTTGATCTTAAAAAGGAGGGATGGAGATATTTGCTGTTTGGAGGGACATCTAAAGAGTCATATTTTCATGCCTCTGGCAAGACAGTGATAGTGTGAATTATGATGAAAGTGTTTCTTTTTCACATCACCTTTCCTCAGTTGGGAGACAACCATTGTGTTAAAAAAAATATCCCCATGTTATGTCTCATTAGTATAGTGCAGAGAGGAATTGATATTCATAGTTTTACCAAATATTTTTATTCTGGATTATCAGAATTTTACAAAAACAATCAAATTTGCAATTTAGCCACAATGAAAGATTATTAAATCTCAAGTGATCCTTTTTTTTAACCTCTCAGTCACATAATTGGCAAATAATAGGACTTGAATCTTAGAGGTGTAAGTACAGTGTGTTCACTCAGGAGGGGTAAGGATGTAATATTTGACAGATGTCATTTTAATTGTGATGTCACCACACTTCTGACAAGACAGCTGTTAAATGAATGATAATGACTGTTTTGCCTTGTTGTTTTGGGGGTTACCTCATCTCAGTGGGAGACAGCCAGTGTTTATCTATACGTAACCATACTTCATAAAATCACTACTCTTATCTTATCTCACAGACCTACCTAAAGCCAGGGTAACCTTGGTGTCCTCCTGTTATTGTTTAAAGTCATGAGACCCACATTTGTTGTGTATTTCACTAAATCATATTAGCAGCGATTTTTTTAGGCAACTTCCAGTTAATATATACAGGTTTCCTCACTTTGTTAGGTAAAAAGGATACATGCAACTAATTCAGCATTTTATTGTGGCAACGTTTTGCACTCCAGGAGCTTTGTCAAGCCATTAGAAACAGTACAGAAACACAAAACTGTGCACCTCACCATATACCCTCCGTATCTCTGTATTGTTTGTAACTGCTCGCCACAATAAAATGTTGCATTAGTTGCACATGTCCTTTTACTTAATATATTGTTGGTAATTTTATCACATTAGTACAATTACTCAATTTATGTAGGTTTGCTTTGCAATCAAGAGTTGATGGCTTGATTGTGCTTTGTGCTGGTACCACGAACCTAGAATACTTGTATAGTAGAAGACCAGGACATCTGTATTTAATTTCAACTGCAATTGAAATATAAATACAGATTTACTTGACCTTGATTTAATGGAATATTGTACATTTCATCCTCATACTAGGAAACTTTTCTGTGTAGCCTTGAAATATTGTTTTATTTTCTCTATGTTACTTTGCTTGTTACTCTGGCCGATATTTATTACACCTTTTTTTTTTTCCTCAATGCACTGGCCATCTCCCACCAAGGTAGGGTGATCTAAAAAGAAAAATGAATGTTTTTCTTTTGCATTTAGTAATTTATACAGGAGAAGTGGTTACTAGTCTCCTGCTTCCTTATTACATCTTTCTGTTTATATATTAATATTTACCTTTGTTTTCTTTTATGAAGGCAGATGATCCGGTAATGAAATACCTGTGTGACAGCACAGAAGAAGGGCAGAAAGTATCACGCAACAATGGTGACAAATTCTTGGCTGTATTTCGAAGGACGTCTGATCCAATAAAACTTTGTAATTCTAATCAGGATGCAATTTGAAATTAAATGTTTGTGTATAACAATTTTATATTATGTACTGTATACAGTATTACATTTCAGTGTTCATATTTTCATTACTGGCTGGAAGAATAACACTTCCGTCTCACAGTTAACAGATGGAGGATCGAGCCTTCACCACCTGGGCTTAGTGTTTCACATAGGACTTGAGTCCTGAAGGTGGGAAGAACAGTGCCTACACTCTAAGGGAGGGACTTTGGATATTTGCTGTTTAGAGGGACATTGAAACTGTTGTATTATGCACGCCTCTGGCAAGACACTGATAGTGTAAGTGATGGTGAAAGTTTCTTTTTCGGGTCACCCTGCCTTGGTGGGAGACGACCAGTGTCAAAAAAAAAAATCACAATACAATGACTGGGACAATACACAAATAACCTCCACATAGGAGAGAGAAACTTATGTGCTGGATATTTGTGTATTGTTTCCTATAAATTCAGTAATGTATAATAATAATAATAATGATGTATGCAACCTTAGATCATTTTGCAATACAGTACAGTACAGCCTTTCCTCACTTAACGATGGGGTTCCATTCCTAAGAGTAGGTCAGTGAATGAATTTGTCATTAAATGGTTCAATGGTAGTGGGTTTGTGTCAGCCATCTTAGATATTTTTATAATGTCACCTTGGAACCATTTATAACATTTTTAGTATATTTTTAAATGTTTATACAGTAGTGTACTGTATAATGTAATAAACAGAATAGAGGAAATCAGCTCTGATATTCATTACTTGGGTTTACAAACTGGTTGGAGAGCTGGTCGTAAGTTGGAGTGGTCAGTAAACAAGTACAGCGCTAAGTTAGGAGAGGTTGTATATTCAATTGTCCTTTTGTAATCATTTGTAATGTTACATAACTTTTAATCATTATTTACACAATTCTCCATGGGGAAGTGGAACAGAATTCTTCCTCGTAAGCCATGCGTGTCGTAAGAGGCGACTAAAATGCCGGGAGCAAGGGGCTAGTAACCTCTTTTCCTGTATATATTACTAAATTTGAAAGGAGAAACTTTCGTTTTTCCTTCTGGGCCGCCCCGCCTCGGTGGGATACGGCCGGTGTGTTGAAAGAAAAATTTACATGATTGTAAAAAAATTACAATATCTGTGAGATATTTTTAAAAATTATTTAAAAGTGACAAAGAACTTTTCACACATAATTTGTACTCTTGAAAAATTGCCCAAATTGAGGGTGACCAGTGAGAACATTATTGTGACTAGTGAATTTTGACCTTGTGGGTTTAGTGCTTAGTTTTGATTTTAATAATAATAATAATAATAGTGAATTTTGAAGTTCTCAGAATCTAAGCTGTGTAGGTGAAAGGTAAAGAGAGAATATATAAAATAAAATGCAGTACTCTTTTTAAATGATGCGGTTAGACTTTCCCTTTCCCTCATTGATGCTGCTGAATGTCTCTCGATCCAGGGAATTGGATTTTTTTTTTTTAATGCACTTGGCGTTCTCCCATCAAGGAAGGGTGACCTAAAAATTAAAACAAAATTTATTTTTTCATTTTACAAATTGTAACTATTGTAACTGATTAAAATTTTTTTGAGTTGTATTCCCAGACACTATGATCTTGGAGTAAGCTCTTCCACATGAATATAATAACAGTGTTTGTCAGATGAATAAAGTACTGACCATTATTATTTTTAATGTAAAAATATTACAGTGGAACCTCAAAAATCAAACTTAATCTGTTCCAGGAGCTAGTTCTAAATTCGAAAAGTATGAAATTCGAAGCAATATTTCCCATAAGAAATAATGGAAATACAGTGGACCCTCACCTAACGATATTAATTGGTACCCGAGAACGAATATCGTTAGGCAAGTTTTTTAGCGTTAGCCGAGGCAAAATCTTAGCGTTAAAATGTATCCTTAGGCGAATTTAATGTTATGCGATGCGTTCGTTAGGCGAGGGTCCATGTACAATTAATCTGTTCCAGAAACCCAAAATTATTCACACAAAAAATACATTTTATAGAGATTAATTACAGTTTTACATACAACAAATACTATAGTTTTTAATTATGTATTACCTGGAGTTTACCTGGAGAGAGTTCCTTTATTGAAGATTGGTGATGGCATCTGGAAGATAGGAAGGAGGAGAGAAGGAGTTGGGGTTAGTGTTTGGAAGGAGAATACCCCTACATGAGGACTTCAGGTAAAGCCCTCTCTGGGGTTACTTCCCTTCTCTGTCTTTTAATGCCACTAGGACCAGTTATTTTGTGAGACCCCTGTCTCACAAAATAACTGTCCACAGTCCTCTGTTTCTGGAGCCTCTTTAACATTTCCCTAAAATGGGACATGGTTCTGTCACTGAACTTGTTGCAAAGATGGCTTGTTTCAGCTTGCTCAGGGTGGTACTTCTGCACAAACATTTGGACATCATTCCACTTGGCACAAATCTCCTTAATCTTTGAAGAAGGCACCTCATCCACTCCCTATATTAACACCTTTCGCAACATCAGCTTCCTTGATTTGTTCTTTCTTTGACAGGATAGAACCGATGGTCGACTTGTTTTTCCCATACATCCTGGCAAGCTCAGCAAGTCTCACACCACTCTCATACTTCTGTATTATTTCCTTCTTCACATCTATGGTGTTTCTCACTTTCTTTACCACAAGGATACCACTAGCAAGTTTCTTTGGGCACATAGCAGCTTATTTCACAGTCCCACAAGCACTAAACGCAACGAAATAATCGTAAAATGCGTGAATGAGAGCGCAGGTTAGTGTTCACTCAAGCATAAACAAAGCTAGACTGCTCACGGCGCCTGCGCGGGGACGCGGACAGAGCGGGCGGCAGACAGGTCCCATACCTGGCGGTCCGAAAATAGGGGCACATTCGATAATAGGGACACAGTTTGTCTGAAAAAATGGTCCTATTTTCGAAACGTTTGATATGTGATACGTTCGATTTTTGAGGTTCCACTGTACAATAGTATCCCCGTATCCTCGGGGAATAAGTTCCAAGGACCTGCCGTGGATATTGAAACCGCAAATCATAGTAAACCCTATATATTAGTTCTCTACATACCTGTTACAAAGTTCAATTGATAAATTATGCACAATAACTGGAGAATTATCACATTTTCACAGATGGGAAGTATTTCAAGGCTTCTCTAAGACCTTAAAGAACTGCCAGCTTCTATACTTTTGTGCTTTGGGGTCATTATTATGCAAAATTAAGGTGTATTTTTGGGTCACAGTAAACCATGGATAACTGAAACAGCAGATACTGAATCACTGGATACAGGGGCTCTTCTGTATATATTTTGCATATAAAAAGTCAATAAAATTGGAAAATTGTAAACATGGTGAATGGCTGAAGTATACTGTCTTATTGTTAAGTATTAGAGAACTCAACATGTTTAACATACTGTATGTGACTCATTAAATTGTAGGCAAGCACTGAACTTACCTAGAGAAATATTGAAAAACTTAATGTAGTATTTGTACCATTCTTAAGATATTGTTAATAAATATTCCTTGCAGTAGTGTGTTCTTTTGGGAAAATTGTATTATTGGTGATGGTGACTACCTCAGTCAGTGTCAGCAGTGTCCTTACCTTTTCATTGAGGGGGGGTTGATTTTCTGCCAGTGAAGGGTTCTTGATCCAAGGACTTGGAGCCACTCTTCCTTTCTGGGGGGAGGGGAGGTCAGATCTGATTACCCTATTCTGCATGCACTGCATCGTCTCCCTATATGGGGTTTACCCGGTAATTGGTGATAGTAGAATATGCATATTTTAAAAAAAAAGGATATGAGATACCATGTAAGAAAAATTTTATGATTGCAGCATTTAGCAGTGCCCATATACCACCCCACACCAGGGCCAGGAAGTGTCCAAGCCAGTGAACGGGACTTTCCTTGGATCAACCCTGACTGCCTCTTATTCCCTCAGGTACTTGATGCCTCTTATAGATTTAAAACTCCCCCATAAATGTAATAATAATTAGGTAAGTCTTAAGTATTTAATGAGGTACATATAATCCTAGGTAGTAGGTTGGTAGACAGCAACCACACAGAGAGGTACTACTGTCCTGCCAAGTGAATGTAAAATGAAAGCCTGTTAATTGTTTTACATGATGGAAGGATTTCTGGTGTCTTTTCTTCTGTCTCATAAACATGCAAGACTTCAGGTACGTCTTGCTACTTCTTAAATTAAGGCCACACTACACATGCCTATACAAGTGTATATATACAAACCCTTCTGAGTTTTCTTCTATTTTTCCTACTAGTTCTTGTTTATTTTCACTTATCCCCATAGGGAAGTGGAACAGAATTATTCTTCCGTAAGCCATGCGTGTCGTAAGAGGCAACTAAAATGCCAGGAGCAAGGGGCTAGTAACCCCCTTCTCCTGTATATAGTACTAAATATAAAAGGAGAAACTTTTGTATTTTCTTTTGGGCCGCCCCGCCTTGGTGGGATACATCCGGTGCATTGAAAGAAAGTTTACTTAAAATTAAAATTTATTAGCAATATAGACATTTAAATTTTTAGTACGTATAATTGTAGATAAATGGTTCAGAGAATTAACAAGTTAATGAATGAAACGCTTCTGCAATGTTTGGGTATCTTTATTGTGGCAATGTTTCACCAGCCAGTGGCTTCCTCAGTCCAATACAGAGATGAATGGTTGAAGATCAGGAGTTTGAGATAATCAGTCCCTCAGCCTGGAGTTGATCAGTCCATCAATCTTGATCTTCAGTTATTCTCTGTATTGGAGTGAGGAAGCCAGTGGCTTCCTCACTCCAATACAGATACCAATAAAAATATCCAAGTGTTGCACATGTGTCTCATTTATCATGTTTAAGGGTACCTTGATGCATGTGAAAGTCTCTCAGTTAAAGAAATTCGAGTTACCCCCTCCTTCCTTGGTCCCTTTAGGAAAGTACCTTAATGCCAGTGAGGAGCTCTTGATGCAAGGAACTGGACTTAGCCTCTCCTTTCTTGGATCAAAGCTGAATGTCTCCCAGGGGTTGTATGACTCCTATGAATTTAGTACAGTGGACCCCCGCATACCGTTGGCATCACATAATGTTAAATCCGCATACCGATACATTTTATCGCTAAGATTTTGCCTCGCATACCGCTAAAAAACCCGCTCAACACTATTCGTCCGAGATGCGTCTAATGTGCGGCCTGAGCCAGCCTCACATGTTCCGCCAGTGGCATTGTTTACAAGTCAGCCTCTGCGGTAACATCCAAGCATACAATCGGAACATTTCGTATTATTACAGCGTTTTTGGTGATTTTATCTGCAAATTAAGTGACCATGGGCCCCAAGAAAGCTAGTGCCAACCCTGTGGTAAAAAGGGTGAGAAATATTATCGAAATACTGTGGTACCACGGTCAACTGCTGATGCTGCTGCTGCTGTAGCACTGTCAGCTGCTGCTGCTGCTGTAGCACCGTCAGCTGCTGCTGCTGCTGTAGCACCGTCAGCTGCTGCTGCTGCTGTAGTACTGTCTGCTGCTGCTGTAGCACTGTCTGCTGCTGCTGTAGCACCATCTGCTGCTGCTGTAGCACTGTCAGCTGCTGCTGTAGCACTGTCAGCTGCTGCTGTAGCACTGTCAGCAACTGCTGCTGCTGCTGTAGCACTGTCAGCTGCTGCTGTAGCACTGTCAGCAACTGCTGCTGCTGCTGTAGCACTGTCAGCTGCTGCTGTAGCACTGTCAGCAACTGCTGCTGCTGCTGTAGCACCATCAGCTGCTGCTGCTGCTGTACCTCCGTCAGCTGCTGCTGCTGCTGTAGTACCGTCTGCTGCTGCTGTAGCATCGTCTGCTGCTGCTGTAGCACTGTCAACTGCTGCTGTAGCACTGTCAGCTGCTGCTGCTGTAGCACCATTGTTGGTGTGGCTTATTGAGAATACCAAGAAATGATTAACCCCAGAGGGTTAGCCACCCTAGGATAACCCAAAAAAGTCAGTGTCATCGAAGACTGTCTAACTTATTTCCATTGGGGTCCTTAATCTTGTCTCCCAGGATGCAACCCACACCAGTTGACTAACACCCAGGTGAACAGGGAAAAACGCCTGGAACTAGTGCTCATATTGGTGAATTTAAAGCCAGCAAAGGTTGGTTTAAGAGATTTAAGAATCGTATTGGCATACACAGTGTGATAAGGCATGTTCTGGAAGAAAATGCCAAACAGGACCTACAGTACTCAGGAGGAAAAGGCACTCCCAGGACACAGTGTCTCATCAGTCACTGCTGCATCTTCAATAAAGGTAAGTGTCATTTATTCTTCATTTAGTAGAGTAGTACATGCACAATATATATTGTGCATGTACTACTCTACTATTGTGCATGTATCCTTCTCTTTGTGTGTAGGAAAATGTATATTTCATGTGGTAAATTTTTTTTTTTCATACTTTTGGGTGTCTTGCACGGATTAATTTGATTTCCATTATTTCTTATGGGGAAAATTCATTCGCATAACGATAATTTCGCTTAACAATGAGCTCTCAGGAACGGATTAATATCGTTATGCGGGGCTCCACTGTACTTTCTCGTGATTATTAAATCTTCCTTGGGTCAAACCTCAGTTTCCAGGTAGTATATGATTTTTATAGGAATGGGAAAAGAGATGCACATAATAAGACATTAAAGATGGACCAACGTTTCGCCATTCTTGGACACAGTACAGCCTCTCCTCACTTAATGACGGAGTTCCGTTCCTAAGACCCCGTCATTAAACGAATTCATTGCTAAGTGAAGAGCATACTATAATGGTAGTGGGTTTGTGTCAACCATCTTTGATATTGTTTTAATGTCATCTTTGCACCATTTATAACATTTCTGGTATATTTTTAAATGTTTATACAGTAGTGTACTGTATAGTGGACCCTCAACCAGCGATATTAATCCGTTCCTGAGAGCTCATCGTTAGTCAAAATTATCGTTAGTCAAGTTAATTTTCCCCATAAGAAATAATGGAAATCAAAGTAATCCGTGCAAGACACCCAAAAGTATTGAAAAAAAAAAAAATTTTACCACGTGAAATATTAATTTTAATACACACAAACTGAAGATTACATGCACAGCTACATGACACTTACTTTATTGAAGATCTGGTGATGATTGATGGGATGGGAGGAGGGGAGAGGTGTTAGTGTTTAGAAGGGGAATCCCCTTCCATTAGCACTTGAGGCAGCAAGTCTTTTTCTGGGGTTACTTCCCTTGTTCTTTTAATGCCACTAGGACCAGCTTCAGAGTCACTGGACTTCTGTCGCACAACATATCTGTCCATAGTTACCCGTACCTCTCGTTCCTTTACGACTTTCCTAAAGTGGTTCACAACATTGTCAGTGTCACCATTAAACACTTGTTCAGGTTTCAGTCCTTCACTGTCTATGTACTCCTTGAATTCCTGCACATATTTTTCATCTGCTTTTTGGTCCAAACTGGCAGCCTCACCATGCCTTATCACACTTTGTATGCCACTACGATTCTTAAATCTCTCAAACCAACCTTTGCTGGCCTTAAATTCACTCACATCACCACTAGTTGCTGGCATTTTTCTAATTAAATCGTCATGCAACTTCCTAGCCTTTTCACATATGATCGCTTGAGAGATGCTATCTCCTGCTATCTGTTTTTCGTTTATCCATACCAATAACAGTCTCTCAACATCTTCTATCACTTGCGATCTCAGTTTCGAGAACATAGTTGCACCTTTGGCAAGAACAGCTTCCTTGATTGCCGTTTTCTTGGCCACAATAGTAGCGATGGTTGATTGGGGTTTTGTGTACAGCCTGGCCAGCTCGGAGACACGCACTCCACTTTCATACTTAGCAATGATCTCTTTCTTCATATCCATAGTAATTCTCACCCTTTTTGCTGTAGGGTTGGCACTAGAAGCTTTCTTGGGGCCCATGGTGACTTATTTTGCAGGTGCAATCACTAAAAAGGCTGTGATAATATGAAATGTTCCGATTGTATGCTTAGAGGCGACTGCGGTGGCTGGCTGGCTTGTAAACACTGGCCAGAAGTGGATGCGTCTCAGACGGAACGGATAGTGTTGGTTGAGTTTTTTAGCGCTAATCGAGGCAAAATTTTTGCGATAAAATGTATCGCTAGTCAGATTTATCGTTAATCGATGGCATAGCTGGTTGAGGGTCCACTGTATATTGAAATCAACAGAATAGAGGAAATCAGCTCTAATATACATTATTCAGGTATAAGTACTGGTCAGAGGGCCTGTCGTAAGTCCAAGGTGTCGGTAAACGAGTACAGTGGACCCCCGCCTAACGATATTAATCCATTCCTGAAAGCTCATCGTTAGCCGAATTAATTTTCCCATGAGAAATAATGGAAATCAAATTAATCCGTTCCTGACACCCCAAAGTATGAAAAAAAAAATTTACCGCATGAAATATTAATTTTAATACATACAAACTGAAAAAGACATGCACAATTACTACTCTACTAAGTTAAGAATACAGTGGACCCCCGGTTAACGAACTTTTTTCATTCCAGTAGTATGTTCAG